CTCCCTCCCTCCCTCCCTCTCTCTCTCTGTGTCTCTTGCTTGTGGATTGTGGATCAGATTTAAGCTCTCAGTTACTGCTCCAGCACCATGCCTGCTTGTTATCATGTTCCCTGCCATGATGCTATGATAGTCTGGACTCTAACCCTCAGGAACCAAGAGTCCCAGGTTAAATGCTTTCTTTTTTAAGTTGCCTTGGCCAAGGAGTCTTATCACAGAAGAAAAAAAGTATCTTGGACAGTTGTACAAACATATTTGTTGAAGAAATGCTTATAAGGTTTCTAAGTCAGAAAGTCTTATGTACGATCCCATGGTTAATCTAATCTCTTATAAGAAACAACATTTGAAAAAACGTTTCCCTATTAAAACATTTTCATCATTTCATCATTCTAGGTTAGTATCTTGCAAAACATAAGTTTCTTTTTCTACTACTGGTGTGCACCTCAACTAATTCTTCATAGATAGATATGTTCCCATTTTGCTTTATCTTGTATACTTTTCATAATCTGATTGCTAGGCTTTTTTAGCCCAGAAAATTAACCATTAACTTTTAAGTGTTATCAAATGTTTCTTTTTATTAAAACCACCAAAACAAGCTGATTGGTGGGGGGAGCTATCAAAGGCCAGAAAGACAGCTTCAAGGGTAAAGATATTTGTCACCAAGCCTATGTGTGATTTCCAAAACATACATGGTACTTAAAAGAGAAAACTAGCTCCTGCAAGTTGTCCTCTAACTTCCACATATACACAAATGAACAAATAAATAAATATAATAAAAATGTAATCAAAAATCTTTTGAAAAGACATTAAGATCCTGATATATTAAGAGACCATTCCCTGGGTGGTGGTGGTTGCACACCTTTAATCCCAACACTTGGGAGGCAGAGTCAGGCGGATCTCTGTAAGTTCGAGGCCAGCCTGGTCTACAGAGTGAGATCAGGACAGGCTCCAAAACTACACAGAGAAACCTTGTCTCAAAAACAAACAAACAAACAAAAAAAGAGTCCTTTCAACCTAACACATCCTCCACTCAATCAGCACTCAGTTCCATTATATAGAACTGACTTAGATTTTCACTTTTACTATCTTACCCTATTATGACCTCACTTTTATGTTACTAATCTTCCAAAGCATTTTGCTCCACCACCTCCATCCAACATTTAATCTTATGACACACCTAAAAAGCACCTTAAGAACACATAATCACTTATCAGCCGAAGACATTTACTTAGGAAAAAAGCATAGTTATGGCCATATTTTCTGCAGTGGATTGTTTTTATTACCAGGACTGAGGACCGAAGCCAGGGATTCACTACTACTAGACAGGCACTGTACAACTCAGCTAACACTCCCAGACCTACACTGAAATATCATACAAATAATTGAGGTGGAGAAATGGGTCGGCAGGCAAGAGGACTTACTACATAGTCATAAGGACGAAAGTTTGGATCCCAATAGCCATATAACAAGCTAGGCTTCTACACAGGCCTATAAAAGTAGCTCAGAGGTGGTCTGTAGAAACAGGGGGATTGCTGAGACTTGATGACTTTTTAGCCTAGCCCAGAAAACACTAACCTCGGCATGCAGGTGCACATGCACACACGTATGCTCTCGCACACGTGCTAGCACATGTAAGCACACACACAAGTTGATGTTTAAAAATAAATTTAAAAATACTTATTCTTACAATATGTCTATGAATGTTTTGCCTGTATGTATGTGCACCACATACATGACTACAGAGGTCCAAAGAAGGTGTCAGATCCCCTGGAACTAGAGTTACAGGTGGTTGTGAGCCAATGTGTGGGTGCTAGGAACTGAACCCAGGTTCTCTGCAAGAGCAAGTTCTCTTAACCACTAAGCCATCACTCCAGACCCCCTACAAATAAATCTTTAAAGACATAAGTAAAATAAACAATTGGAAATGGAAGTTACTAGATAAAACTTCACTTTAGGGCTAGGTAAGTACTAACTCTTCTCCTAGCCCTAAATCAAAATTGTATCCAATTAACCAGACTACAACCCATAACTCCAGAGAAGCTAGCTAACAAGGAAGACCCAAAGAGGGACCCATGAATCACCCTGGGAAGGGGAAATAGATGAGATCTCCATGAGTAAACTGGGGGGGGGGCAGTAATGGAGGGCAAGGGATGGGGGATGAGAACATAAGGTAATGGGATGGTCAAGCTGGAACAGGGACAGAGTGGGAGAGCAATGAAAGGGATATCCTGATAGAGACATTACGGGGATAGGTTGAAACCTGGTGCTAGGGAAGTTCCTAGGAATCCACAAGGATGACCCCAGCTTAGACAACTAGCAATAGTGGAGAGGGTGCCTGAGCTGGCCTACCTCGGGAATCAGATTGGTGACTACCCTAACTGTCATCATAGAGCCTTCACCCAGTCACTGACGAAAGCGGATGCAGAGATCCATAGCCAAGTATCAGGCTGAGCTCTAAGAGTCCAGCTGAAGAGAGGGAAGAGGGATTCTATGAGCTAGGGGCATCAAGATCATGATGGGGAAACCTACAGAGACAAATGAACCAAGCTAGTGGGAACTCATGAACTTTAGACCAACAGCTATGGAGCCTCCATGGGACTGGACTAAGTGAGACAGTTGTGTAGCTGGGTCTGTTTGAAAGGCTCCCGGCAGTGGGATCGGGATCTATCCCTAGTGCATGAACTGGCTTTCTGGAGCCCGTTACCTATGGTGGGACACCTTGCACAGCCTTGATGCAGGGAGGAGGGGCTTGGACCTGCCTCACCTGAATGTACCAGGCTTTGCTGACTCCCCATGGGAGGCCTTACTTTTTCAGAGGAGGGGATGGGGGTGGGATGGGGGGTAAGGGAGAAAAGGGATGAGAGGGGGATAGGTGGTTGGTATGTAAAATGAATAAAAAATTCTTAATAAAGACAATAAAATTTAAAAATTTCTTAAGAAAACAAAATTGTATTCAATAACTTTCATTTCCAAGTATTTGTTTTTATTGGTTAAATAAGACAGTTCACTACAGAGCTGAGAATACATCCACAGTAAAGTGTTTGCCTGGCATGTTTGAGCCCTGAGGTTAAATCCCTAGTACCATAAAAGCAAAAAATTTTGCACCTTTTTTTTTTTTTTTTTTTTTTTGATCTTTCAAGACAGGGTTTCTCTATGTACCCCAGGCTGTCCTGGAAATTGCTTTGTAGACCAGGCTGGCCTCAACTGACCGAAATCCACCTGCTTCTTCTTCCTGAGTGCTGGGATTAAAGATCTGCACCACCACTGCCTGGCTGTACTTTCTATTTTTTTTTTAATTCAATTACAGACCTTAAAAGGTAGGTATGGTGGCATTCATATAATCTCATCTCCTGAAAACAGTGTGAATGGAGCTAGTCTGGGCTACAAAGCAAGACGGCAGGGTGGGTGGACTGTGACACCGACACAAACCCAAGACTGCACTGAACTGCCTTACCCGTTGTTGTCTTGGTAATTGTACGGGTGGTGTCGAAGTACATCCTGCAGGAAGCGTTCCATCAAAGTGTTACTGGTGGCTGTCCGACGACGGCTCTGTCTGGTCAGGCTTCTATGCTGAGCACTGAACAAGTGCTACAAAGACAAACGGGGGATTGCAAATGAGTAACTGCTACTCGTGCAGCACAATACGGACTCATGCATGCATTTCTTGCAGAAGCTGACATTCTTTCCATCTAGCACTTCTAATACATGTACCTAACACCATAACAGTGTGTCTCCCTAAATACAGTTGTCACGTTCCTCTAAATCCATCCTAAGGATGATCTCAAAAAAGAACCTTAGCACACCATATAGTATTCAACAGGAAACTGCGTAAGAATATCCTTAAATGACAGTGTACATTAAGATGTAATACCATGCGGCTACCTAAAATAATAAAGAAACCATAATAACATAAAGAAATGCTAAGTATTAAAAGAAAATCATACGTGTGGCTCTATCTCAAACTACAGTTTAAAAATATTCAGACAAGCAAATGGAAGAAAACGAACTAAAATCTTAAAAGCATACTTTTAAGTGATATACTTTTGGATAATTTTTAATTTTTCTTACAATTTTTATATTTTCCAATGAGTATTTTTACAATTAAAAAAAACTGTGAAAAGAGAGAACAGGGTTGGATTATGGTATTAAAAAAGAACAAAGATAACTCAAACCCCTTCATTTCTTTTCCTTCAGTGATTAAGAAGAATCCTGCCTTGGCAGAATATTAGTGTAAGCACATTAAAGTCTTCAGCTTTGCACAGATACTAGTATTAGTGGATTAGCAACACAGTAAGAAGGACTCTACCACAGGCTGAAACGGACCAAATGCCACACACAGGGCTATTCAATCCCTCTCAAAAGCTCACTGCGTTTCACTCCGCAAGAACAGTGCCCTCTTTTGACACAAAGAGAGTGGGGCACAAAAAATAAAAAAATAAAAGCAAACCGCCTTAGGTTCTGTACCCAGCAAACAACAAAGCCAGGATCTGAATGTGAGTCAAACTGTAGTTTATGTGCTTTTCACTGTCACATGGCTAGTATAAATGGCATATTAATCACATATGTTCTTTATAATACAATAACATGTTTTAACAATACCTAAGAAAAACCATGTTTTCATATATCATAGTTAAGGTACTATTAAAAAAAAACAAAAAACAAAAAACAAAAAACAGGTTGCTAGTTCCTGACCACTGTTACAACGCTTGAAATTATGCCCCATCATGCTGATGTGAGACTCCTCCTGCAATGTTACCTTAGCCCCAGGAAAATCAAGTATGCCAGCCTCAAAATCCTCTCGCTACACACTCCCCCACTGTCCAGGACCCATCACCAGAGCTAGGCTGCTGGTAATAAAGAGGACAAGTGCACAAGGGAACAGAGATTCCACTAAAATCTAACCCTGCCCTCTCTGCTAAGGCCAACAAAGAAGAGCAATGTGAATGGAGAAGTGCGCCTGTGTGAGCTACAAGAGCCACATTATACATGCCCCACGTGGGCTCACGAGAATTTTCCAGCAGAGATCACATAAAACACACAAAATACTTGTATGTAGCACACTACCCCATCACAGAACAAACACATCCATAAGCATCTATCCACAAATATAGCACCTAGAAAACCCTTTACTGCCCCATACCAATCTAACAGCCCTTCTCTCTTAGCCAAGTGTAACTATAACCCTGATTTCTGATACTGTAGTTCTGAAAGGTTCTGAAATTTATATAAATGACACCATACAAAATGTATTCTTTTGTACTGGGTTCCTCTCCTTCAGCACTGCATTTATATTATTATTCAACATTAGTTGTACTCTGTTCACCTTCAAGTACACATCTGAACTCTGTTGTATGAATGTATCCTATTTTGTGCATTCTGCTCTTGATAGATTTTGGATATTATAAAGAATGCTGCAATGAACCTTGTTATTTGTCTTGTGTGACAAGGCACGTGTATTTTGGGGGATAGATTACTAGGAGTAGAATTTCTGTGCCATACAGTGCATGTATGTTTAGCTTCAGTATCTAGTTTTCCAAAGTAGTTGGAACAACTTATGCCTCAACCAACAGTATATCTTTATCTTTGCATTGCTCTCCTTCATCATCAACACTCAGTCTTCTCTTTTTTACATTTTAGCTATTGTGGAAGGTGTTCAATGCCATATATTGTGGTCTTAATCCATAATCTGATTGACAGCTTTTCATTTTTGCTGGCAGTACAGATTGTGTCTAATTATGGCTCCATTCAAATTTTTTCCTGATGTCCTTTTTTTTCCCAAGGTGGGGTCTTCATTATGTAGCTCAGGTTAGCCTTGAATTCAGTATCCTTGTCTCTAGAATGTTGGGTTACAAGCAAATGCTACCATGCCAGCTCCTCTTCCTGTTTTTCAAATAGATTGTCTTCTTTATTAACTTGTAGAATTTATTTATTCTGGACACAATCTCCTTTCAAGTATCATCTTCCTTTCTGTAGCTGGTCTTATTGTCTCACTTCCTTTCTATAGTTGGTCTTCTCTTCTCACTTCCTTCCTGTAGCTGGTCTGGTCCTCTCACTTCCTTCCTGTAGCTGGTCTTGTCTTCTCACTTCCCTTCTGTAGCTGGTCTGGTCCTCTCACTTCCTTCCTGTAGCTGGTCTTGTCTTCTCACTTCCCTTCTGTAGCTGGTCTGGTCTTCTCACTTCCTTTCTGTAGCTGGTCTTGTCTTCTCACTTCCTTCCTGTAGCTGGTCTGGTCTTCTCACTTCCTTC